AATGAATGAAAGCCTCAGGGAAAGATGTAAATATTCAGCAAATAGAACCTCAGCCCCAAAGTTCCAAGTCTGGAATACATTTCACAGTCTCAGAACTGAACCCAAGCCAGAAACATGCATGTTGATACTGATTATTTGTGTCCTTTGGCAGAGGGTTTAGAAAAGTTTTATAATTCAGTTGCGTGGGGAGAGAGAGTGATTATGTATATATAGCTTCCACCTGGCTATCTGCAGCTGTTGGAGAGTGGAGTCCGCCTGGATTTCCTTGCCTGTCCCTGGCCTCAGCTCACACCTCGCCCCCTGCCCCTTGATCTCCATTCGTGGGTCTCGCTGGCATTGTGTTTCCTCCGGCTACAGGGCCTTAGCACAAGCTGCTCCCTCTGTCCACAATGCTCTTCACAACCCACGCTCTCCCGCTACACCCAGTCCAGGCTTCCTGTTCTGTGAGAGGCCAGCTCATTTCCTCACAGAAGCCCCTGAGTAAGTCCAGTGTCCCTGTCACACATTCTGAGGACACTGGCCACTTCTCCTCTGTAGAGGCTTGTCACGCCTGTGCCTCCACCCTTCTCTATGGGACCCTCTGCGCAGTTGCTGCCTAAAGGGTAGTGTATGCATGTGACACAAATAGTGTGCGGGCGTTCACTTTTTAACTTTAGAGTCATACATTTATTTTAATATGTACTAGAAAAGAAATATCTGTATAGTTAGTAGCCTGTCCTTTCGTGAGTATTTTTGCTTACAGTCGGCCTAAAGTAGATAAAACTGTGAATCCGCCTTCCATAGCCGTGTGAGTTACAGGCGGCGGGCATACAGGCACAATTTTCAAAGCAGTATGCAAATGACTAAAATTTGGGAGATATGTTCATATAGTTCCCCTCCCTAGATTGTAAGCTCCAGGAAAGAGCTTTTTTTGTGTGCGCCATTCTACCTACTAGCAGTGGTACATATTTAGGCCTCAATAAATATTCGTTGAAAGACTGGACAAGTGACTGAATGAACAGTGTCATGACTCAACAAGGGCCCCTCCCAAGTGACATCAGGCCAGTCACAGATCAGATAACGAGAAAGAAGGGTGAGGTTCCTTTTGAGGCTCATCCGTACGGATGCACGCAGTAGAGACAGGTTGGAACCCTGTAGAGGTAGAACATTCTGGCTCCAAAGCTATCTTCCTCTGTACACGTGCATCATGTTGCTTCGGGTGGATCTGGATTAGGGAATGACGTAACAACATATACTTGAACACACATGGTCCTCTTCAGAGTGCTTAGAAAGATAGTAGCTTTTAAAAAAGGAAAAGCCAGAAAACATTGGTCCCGAATTTCACGTAGAGGCTTTCTTCACAGTGATCATAAGCTTTTCAGTGGAAAGGACCACAGTTACCCATCTGTTAACACTGTGTCAGGCCCAGGGTCTCAGCCATGGTCTGGCCAGTCGTCAGTGTGTCGCCTCTGCTCCAAGTCCACCTCCTCTGTCACATTTGTGACACTGGAGCTGGCCCCTGGAAGCATTTCTCCTTTGCCAGCTGATGCAACTTCAGGTTTGTCAGCAGAGGGCACTGGAGAGACACTGCGAGAGGAAGGGGCTTCTCTTTGGGGTTCATGTGCTTCAATTCTTGCTCCTGTGACAGACACAGCGGCCGGGTGGGCAGCTTCCTGAGGGAGACCCGGTGGTCGGAGACCCCAGCACACTGCTTTCTGAGAGTTCCGCTGGGACCCCAGTGGGAAGCTCCTTGAAGCGCCGCAGCGAGATCCTCCACCGTCCTGGGGGCCACAACCGTCCCTTGTCCCTTGAAGCCTGCACCTCATCCTGGAGAGGAGACCAGCTTTTATGTTTGCCTCTTCCCTCAGTGCTTCCTCAGCCTTGAGGATGACACCTGCTTCCCTACACCTACCGTTCCAATGTCCTTTAGCGATCCCTTTACCCTCTTAGCAGTTAATAATGCTTTCCATGAAAGTTTCCCCGCTCAAATTTCTGGTGTGGTTTCTATCTCCTGATTGGACCCTTACTGACACAATGGTGGACACTCAATAAATGACTGATGAACCGATGAGTCAGTGAGGGAATTGAGAAAAGTGACTTCATTTTCACCTTATTGCTGCTATTAATTCTTTTTTTTAAGATTCTAATACAGATGTTCTATTTTGAGAATGCCATAGATTTTACCATTCATTCTACACAAAACTGCTAGATTCTTAACAGTTAGTTGACATTCCCAGGCTATAAACACTCCTGCTTTTACAATCTGTATGAAACAGGTTAGTGTATAACAATATTCCTACAACTTTTTTTTGAGAAAAAGTTTTGGGCTAAGGCACAACAGTAAAATAGTCTAACATCTTGCTTGCATGTATCTCTTGGTCAAACTAAAATAATTTTTTTTCCTAAGGCAGGAAAACAACACGAGATACGAACACCATAAAGAAGCGTGTTTCTGTGATGATTCGCACACACTGCCTGCCTGCGTCCGCATCCCCACACACAGCGGCCACGGGAGCCAAGCCTGACAGTGAAGACAGCTCCAAACAGGGAAGCCCAACCCCTCATTAAGGCTGATAGAAAAGCACATCAAGGACATGGTGAGGTTTTGCTTGTTTATGTAATAAAATCGACACCCATGTTTAGCTGCAAAGGTGTAAATTTAGCGTGTGTAATGGTGGGAAGCTGAGGGAGAAGGAAGCAATTTGGCAAATGCCTCCTCCCCACATCACAGGCATTCTCAGAGCCATCAGAAGACCCCAAAACTGGGTCCTACAATATGTGCATTTTGTAAAGCACCCCCTTCCCCTCAGCTTCAGGCCTCGGGTGACCTGGTTTCTCTTTTTAATTGTATAACTGGGGCGGAAAGCCCACAGTGTAGCATGTCACGGTCAATACGTCAACCACAAAGCGGGTGCGATGCTACAGAGAGATCCCAATAGTCCTTCAGTAAGTGTCCCTGGTGACTGGAGAGAGTGTCAGTGAATCCCCGGGACAGAGTGCCCGATGTCAGACCCCACGTCTCAGGCTCCAAGGTACCTGGATGTTAGAGTGAATCGTACCTACAGCGGCAAAAGTTTCTTTCTGGGGGTGGAGAACAGGTTTAGGGAGCAGAGTAGGGAGGGGAGATGCTACATTTTATGAGCCATTGTTTCCATGTTAATGGTTGTCAAATCCCTAGTAGTTTTGAAATGGAGAACATGCAAGTCCCACTGCTTGGTTGGGCTTAAGCATTCCCACATTGCACTACTAGTCCCGAAAGTAGTTTTTATTACTTTGTGAAAGTGCAGTTGAAGGCACATCTTTGACCGGTCATCTCTACCACACAAGTTAATATAGCAACCCCAAAGTGCTATGGGTTTAGGGTTCCCCTCCCCCACCCACCCCACGGTGGATAGGACATCCCTCAGATACATGTGAAAAGTGGTGACTCTACTCACATTGTTCTCTTTGCGGTCCAACTCACCCATCAGAGGCCAATTCTCAGCTACCCTAAGCCCCTCAAACACTTAGAACATAGAGCTACTTTTCTTAGTTGACTCCATAAAGATGAGACTTTTTAAATCCCTGTGTAAGATGCGTACCAGTGACAATAGCGTTTATCTTATGTCAGTCATTTTGGGTAGAGACGAGGGTAGAGAATACGGTGATTTCTAGAAAGTGTTGGGGGCTGGGTTTCTAGCTTTTTCCTGGCTCAATCTCCTTGTCATGTCTTGTTTAGAAATGGTTACGAAGTAGGAATTTGGGTGGGGGAGGGGGGCAGAAGAGAGGAATGGAGTGAAGACTGTGGGAGTTGGGAGGGAGCGGCCCACAGCGCTGAGAATCCCAAGGACGGAGGGGGTCCGAGTCCCTGGGGCTCTGGGAGCAGGAATCTGCCAGGACCAGCACTGGAGGGTGGCCCTGGAATCTGCAGCATTTCATTCATTTCACACGATTAGCTGCAAACCAGCTGAAAGAATTCACCAAGCCCTTAGAAATGGTGGTTTCTGGGTAGCAGGACATCCCCTGGTCTTGTTTGTTCAAAAACAAACGTAGGATTGTAACTGAGTCTTGTTTTGGGGAAGGAGAATGTTTACACCATTTTTAAAACTTTGGGTGTGACCCATTAATGTTGTGGCCCAGTAGAAAAATCTGAGTGCATCTCATATACATAGTTTTGTGCCTTTTTTTGTTTCAATTGTATGTGTATGTACAAGAGTATGTATTTGCTGGGTTGATGGAAAATGTCATTCACAGTGTGAACCAGGCTCCAAAAAGTAGAAAAATATTGTTTCAGGCAACTTTAAAAGGAAACAGAGGAATTGGTTTTGGTGTGCAGTTGGCAGAGTGAGCAAACACTGCCCAACTTCTTTTTGAATTGGTGCACATGCATGTGTGAGTATGAGTGTGCACAGGGGTAAGTGTGTGTGTGCATGTGAGTGTGCATGTGTGTGATCTGATTCTGCTGTGATGTGTAGGCAAAGGGTACTTTCACCTGAGAGTAAGAAGTTGTAAGATTCAGAAGTTTAAGGAGATGTTGCTTAGTGTGATAATGTCAGAAAATCTCCTGGAGGAACTATAGTCCCACATTAAAGCTCTTAGAGGTAAGAGATATGCCTTTTATCATAGAGTTATAATCGTAAATCAGTCCTTGAGTTCTTTTTTTTTTTTTTAGATCACATACCTTTGCCTCAGAACAGGCTGGTCAACTCCACAATAGTAGCATAATTTTGTATGATTTATACTATGAACATAAATTGTGGACTGAGTTAGTTATGGTGCTTGGCTCTTGAGGGGGCAAATTTCCTGAAAATGTTTTCCTAGTGGATCCCTAGGAAAGCATCAATATTGCCTTAGGTTTCCAAACAAAACGAAGAGTGTTGCTACCTTACCTTTTCCTATTGGCCTCTAAGGTTTCGAATCTGGCGACAAGCTAAGTGCAGCAAACAAAGCAGCCACCCTCAGGGTGCTGGGGGAAGCCCTTCCACGGGAAGAGGACATACCGTGATGCAAAGAAACTCAGGACATTATATTATGATCTGCTGGAACATTTATTAATATTTGTAAGGTGCAAACAAAGAGAGAGAGAGACAGTGATGTGAAATGACAGGCATCTTCATCAGAGTTCTGCTCTGCAGCCCAGGAGCTTGGCTGGTCTAGGCATCACGTCTATGAGGCTGAGGTCTTGGGGCTCCGTCGCCTCTGACGCAAAGCAAGGACCTGACCTTCAGTGCCACGTGATGCCCCCGCAGTTTCTGTTAAGTACACGCTGTTGGCCACAGGAGGCTTCATCCCCCCTTCGGAGGAAACAAGTCGTCACCGCCTCCACCAGCACACTGAAAACAGTCGAAAGCAAACACACTCCTGATGTTTCCTGCAGAACGTCAGGCAACTTGTACCAGTCGGCCTGAAAATGACCCCCCACGAGAGGCCTGGGACAGGCAGATGGCTGCACGATTGAGTCAAGGAAGAGAGAGAGCCACAGGGATGCTCCACGTTCAAGGAACTGGAGCATGTTCCAAACGGTGCGAGGGGCCGCTGACCGCCCCTTCCTCCCAGACTTGACCGGCTCTCTTCCTGACCGGAAAGTGAGCTGACACAGTTCTGCAGTTGACAAGGCTGGGCTCACCTTGCCGTGTCCTCTGACACCTGGAGAGGGGTTTTTGTTTTATGCCAGGAGTTGCTAATTCTTCCCACACCTGGGTTTCTGGGACCTACTGTTTATTCAGCAGGAGCCTGCAAAAGTCTGTGTTTACTTGACTGAAAGAAATGAATCCACAGCATCTTTCTTCACACGTCGAATGCCCTGGGAGCGAATACAGCAGCAAACCAGACAGACGAGGTTCCCAGGGGCCCCCGTGCCCAGGACAGTGCCGGACACACAGTGGGCACTTCATAAACACTCGGGGGCGCGTCCACGAGTGGGGGCTGGCCCAAGGGTGCTGAGGTCACAACAGTGTTTCTTCCACGAGGCTTGGGGCCTCTGAGCCCACGGGCTCCCGTCTCGTCTGTTAGCATTGGCATTTACGTTTGCTTGGCCAGTGTTATACTTGAATTTGATCCGTGCACTAAAAATTATGGACTATTGTAAATATCTTGGATTTCCTCTCTGGGTACCTTTTTCTGGCCAAATCTTTGTAGTAAAGAGATGTCAAGCCACACTGTACTATCCCTAACTTGCCTGCAAAGATTTATGAATATAAAGTAGAACTGTCTTACCCAAGTTACAAAAAGAAGTTATGACATCATTTGCTGTAGAAACAAATGCAAGATGGTATTATTCACGGTCGTGTTAACTTGGTTCAGTTCCTCAGTCTCGCCACTGCTTCAAACTTTCACCAGTTGTCATTTTTCTCCCGTTCTCAATATGACAGCTCAACTAGGAATTGTTTTTTCAGTGAATAATAACTTCATTTCCTTATAAAACATGAGCTAACACTCGCATCAGTTTTTATCCACAATTATCACATCATTACTTAAGAATCTCCATTTTCAAAGAAAAATTTTCTAACAGCACAGTGGGAAACAAAGGAAAATCTCATTTTACAGGTAACTGTAGTACAGGTCGTAGATAACTGAGTAGCTTCTACATTGTACCCTAGTATCACTCAGTGGCTACATGCTAGTCAGTTTAACTGCCTTTGAGCTATATATTTTTAAATGTGATTCAAACATACAGCCTCACAGTAAATTTAAATGGCTTATTAAACACCTTCATAGGGCAACAGTATCGTATGTCAAAGATGAATGGTGCTTCTAATTTGCTAGCCACTTGGGTCAAGTTTACTTTAAGCAGGAAGCGTATTTATACAAGTGATCGTAACACAAATGGTCTCTTAGGAAAAGCTGTTGGTGAGAGTTTAACATTTTTGAAGTATGCTCTTGTTTATCTTCTCAAGGGGCATTTTATAGGCAATGGGCCGAAGCACCTCAGCACAAGCGTCACGCCGCCGATGCCGCCTGAGTGCTCGTGTTCTTAGGGGTGAGGGAGAGGGGGCCGGTGGGAGGGCTGAGCCACCTTCACCTGGCTACCACCTGTCAGACCTCCACAGAAAGAATGGTGGGGGACGGCAGCAGCATCTGCAGCGCCTGGGAGCTAGAGATGTCACCGCTGCACCCCAGACCCACTGGGCCAGAATCGACATCCAAACTCGCTCCCCCGTGCGGCCTGTCAGCACCGTCCCGGGACCCAGAAGCCTTCGTGTCCTGGTGGCCAGGCTCAGCTTGGGGTATCCCTCTCTCTCTCGTCCTCACCTCTAGACCCATCCTGTGGAGAAGATAACGGTCCCTCAGCCCGCGTTTCCCTTCCTTTCTCATCACTTCCATGGCCACGTCCTGGACCCAGATGAGTTCACCAACATCCAATGTCCTTGATCAAAAACCCACTTTTCCTGCTGTCCCCCTGACATCATCCAGGGGCTTCCTGTTGCCCGATAACTTTCGAAAGGTCAAGGCCTCATAAGGACTTCCATTGCTTGACATTTATTCTGCCTTCTTGTGCCTGAGCCTCCTGTTCCCTCATTGATGCCGCACTGAGATCCCATCCTTCTAAGCCACCCACCGAAGTCTCCCTGTGCCGTTTTAATCCCTTCCGTTCTTGAGGAAGGATTTCTTAGTCCCTGTTTCTACTGTGGAACGCTGCCTTCCACTGACCTAGCCACAAGCTTCTCTGCTAATGTTTGTGGGGCACCTATAGGGCAAAAGGGAGTCACACTGGATATTTGGGAGAATTGTGGGCAGGGTTTACTCAGTAGAGGGAATCGATTGCTGTTACTAATGACCTACTGGGCAGCCAATGAACACACCTCTTTTGGTCCCACCTGTGCGTTGAGAGGCTCAGCCTGCAGCAGATGCCCAGAGGCAACTGCACCTCCAAAGCAGACCCTGACCAACCAGCCAACTGGCCCCTCAAAGCAATTTGGTCCCCTCTGTTCCTAACTGTGCTGGGGTAAAGAGCTCTGCAAGAAAATGAACTGGGTGTTTTAGAAGTGCATTGCATACAAATTCAGGCTCTGTGGGCCAGGGGTTAGCGCAGCCAATGGTCAAGGGAACAACCTGGGGTCAGCTGGTGAGGACCCCTCTGGAGTGGTTGGTGCCCAGAGCAGACTTCTCTAATCAGAGTTGACTGGCAGGGGGAGAAACAAGATTGCTTTCTGGCCGTAGTGAGTCCGGGGGCCACGCTTGCAGCTTCCGTTCTTCTTCAGCCCCACGAACCAATTCTTTTCTGCATGCTTCTTGGACGTGTAGGTGTTGTAATGGTTTTCCTCCAGCCTTTCCAGGAACAAACATTCCTCATTTGGTGTTTGCTGCAAAGTAAAACCAGAAGACAGTGGAACTATCAGTGAGTGGTTTTAAGCCGGGTTCCTCTGCTTAAAGCTATGTGACCCTGGGCAAATGACTGAGGCTTTCTGTGCCTCAGTTCCCTCTTCAGTAACAGTGGGATGCTGACGGAGCCTGGCTCTGGGCCTGGGAACGAGACTTGGAACAGGACCCAGCGTCTAACCAGCCTTCAATATACATTTGCTGTTACTGTAAGCTCCCCTTCCATCGTTGTCCTCAAGACCCTGTAGTGTGCCAATGGGGAGATCCTGAGTGACTCTGAGTACCCTAAGAGCGGGGGGCTTCTGTCACTGTAGAGGCCTGGCATGCCGGCATGACCGTGAAAAACGTTCAGAACAGATAAAAGCAGACTGGTGCAGTGGAAGCTTTTAAGTTTGGACTTGAAGAATGAATGAAAACCTGCTACTATTACTTTCCATTCTGGTGATTTTTACTAACAAGAGCAGGATTTTTACCCTAGCATTGTTAAGCACATACATGCTTGCACAAAATGTGTCCTGAGTTCAAATCATATCCTGGAACTTAAAGTTAAACAAGTAGCTTTCTCTTTTAATATTTATGAAAAAATTGTGCTTTTCAAAAATGACAATTTTACTTTGAAAAAAGAAAGAAAAAAAGTAAAACCACCTGAAGCCCGCCTGCCCAGATCTAGGCAGCTGTGCCCAGGTGGTGAACACCTTCCTTGTGTCCGTGTGCACGCACACACAGAGAAGCAGATAAGACCAGATGGGTATAGACTTATGATGCTATCAAAATGGCATGCTGTGTCTGTTGTTTTAAAAACGGGCAGTAAGCCTATGAAAACATTCAATCTCACTAGCAAGAAAATGCAAATTAAAAAATGACATAACATATGTTGGCAGTGATATCTGCAAAGCAAAAAAAAGATTTGCAAGTTATTATTGGTGAGCGTGTGGGAAACAGGCACTCTCGCGCACTGTTGGTGAGATGCATTGGGGGAAACTTTCTGAGGGTAGTTGGTGAAATGCATCGAAGTTTTAACTATGCACTGCTTGTGACCCAGCAATTTCACTTCTAGGAGTGGACCCTTAGGAGACAGTGGAGCAAGTATAAAACTGTATTTTCAAGGGTAATCTTTAGATATAATGGTAAGAAATTGGGAGCAACCTAAATATCCATGGAAAGGTGATTGGTTAAGTAGATAGTGATACATACATATAGTGGAATCCAATTCAGTTATAAATTTATTAAGCTGGAAAGATAGCTATAACATATTTAATAGGGCAGTTACTTTAAAAAAGTCTACCAAAAATTTTTTTATTTTACTTGGTATGCATTTGTTAGAGAGTAGGAGGAACCCGGGTTAAGTGAACTTCATGTTTGTCAGGATTTTAGAATACATTTATTATATTTGAATATAAACCAGTTAGATGTGTTAAAATACTTATGTTGTATATTGACTTGGCTCCAATTCCAAATCATGTGGTCTCTATAGTATCACTTTACTGACAGTAGTTGGTGAGTCCCTTTCTGGCGGTTTCCAGTCCTGTTAGTCGGTTCTCCTATTGGGAGGTTCTCCTGCAGTAGGATTCTCTATTTGTGGGCACATCTGTCTGTTAGACGGTAAGCCCTCCTGAGGGAAGAGGTGGGGTCCTGTCAGCCTTCTGTCTACCCCAGACATAGAGCCCTGCAAATAACAGGTGCTTGCCAACGAGGCAGTGAACTTGACTGTGGAGCTGGTGTAAAGCCCTCAGTGAAGTCATCCCTGACTGGTGAGGAACTCAGTGTGCTGCTGCTTATTCATTCCCAGTCAAGTGCAGTGACAGCTGGGTGAGACACTGTATCATTTTCAAACGAGGTGGGACACTGCTGTGCTATTTAATTGGGTGACTCTGCTGCCTCTAAAGGAGCTTATCCAGACATCGGTGTTGGAGGCTCCTTGTTGGGGTGAGAGGAGGCTGGCAGCCTTGGACCTGTGGGGGTTGCCCACTCCCCTGTAGGGGGGGCTCGCCCCGTGAGGCCTCTTAGTGGGCCCTGGGACTGTTTACAGTGATGAAGCTGAGGAGGGCCACACCCCCTTCTGACGTCTCTACTACACGACGGCAGCAGACACACAGACACCGACTGACTCAGAGGCTGAGTCAACAGGCCAGATCCGAGGTGCTGCATCCGCCCCCCCCGCCCCCCGCCAGGGTTTGTCAGCCCCTCTTACGCATTTGGAGCAATGCCAAGGGCCTGGGCAGTAACAGCTGATGCACGGCAATTGTTTTCATTTTTATATTTAGCATGCTCTCCCCCTCCCCCGCCCAGTACATAGGTGACATATACCTACTGTAGAAAATTTGGAAAATACAGGAAGGCATTCACATATGATAAAATCAGCCACTGACCACTCACAGAGATAAATTAATGTTTTGGTCTATGGCCTTTCAAACTTATTTAAAAAAATAAATATGCCCTTTCCACACACACACACATACAAGTTCGTATCAGGAGGGACTGATACTTAAAATCGGTTAAGAGTACAAGGCAGAGCTCTGAGATATGTTAGGGCTTGTCTTTATCAATGGGGAAGTATAAAAATTATGAGGCATAGTATATTAAGATCATCTGAAAATTTCAGGTGAGTTTCAGTGACAGCCAGGACTATGGAGGGAGAAGGGGGTGTTTGGAGCCTAGGGGAAAAGTCGGGTTTGGGAGGTTCTCCTCCAGTACTTTTATACAAGTAAAAGAAGCTTATAACAAACATCAAAACTGATTTAAAGGAGGAAAACCCATAAAACTGTATATATAACCTAAGAAATAATGAAGGCAAGGGATGTGTAAGCGGATTGTTTCACAGCTGCTGGTGACAGAGCGCCCCGCCCCCACCGGCTGCAGGTCCTGTTCACTGTCCCTCTGACTCCTCCCAGCCTGCGTGCTGGCTGTGACCGTGCCTTAGCTGCCTCGGTTCAGACGAGGCTCAGAGTAGGGAAGGCACTTGCCCAGGTGGCAGAGGCGTGAGATTGAATTACGAGCCTGAGATTGAATGATTGATCGGTCAATTGATTTTATTGCCAATTAGAAGAACCACCCTAAAAAAAGAACCCACTGCCTATGGAGCTGGGCTCCAAACCCTTTGAAGTTGTCCCACTTGGTCCGTGTTCAGCAAACAGCCTACTAGAAGCTGCAGTACCTACGACTCCAGTGATCCCATCTCCTGACCCCTCGTGGGCAGCATGAGAAGAAACCGAACTGTGTTCACCTCCCAAATCCTGGCCAAGATGAGTATCAAGAAGGGTTTCCTGTGTCCGCTGCCTCCTGACAATTTGGTACAAGTTAAAGGGAGCCCCAGATCAAAATCCCCTCCCGGTCGCCTCTCCGTAGACATCGTAATACAGGGAAGAAAGGCGCTGGGCTTGGGCTATGCCTTACGGCTGAAACCTCATCATCAGTTGTTGGGGTGCAGAGAAAGGTCATTCAAAACCCGGGGCCACTGGCTTCAGCGCTGTCCCCAGTCAAACCTTTTACCAGAGACGCCAGTGAGGGGAGAATCATGTTCTTCCCTGTATTTGTGTTCTTTTCTCACACAGACCAGCATATACACAGTCAAACCTGCGTGAAACACTAACTGTAAGAGGGATGGAGGGGGCAATGCAGAGGATGTTAGCCTGTGGACAAATTCTTTGTGCTTCTCAAGGGCAGGGATGTGGTTCACTCATCTTTACACCCTTGTCGGGGCCTGACTGCACTAAGACACGGGAGGCATTGGGTAAATCTCTGTGGAATTGAGTTATTCAACTTTTTGTTTAGGAGAGCCTTGCACGATAAAAAGGCCATTTTCAAAGTTTTGTGTGTGGCATGCAAACTACCAGAAAAAGCACAGGGGACACACCTGTGACAAGGTGCTGGGTATTCAAGAAGCTTGTTTGGAAGGAATGAATGCAGTGGAACTAGGTATTCTGAAGTGGGTGATGGATGACTTACTGAAATTCCAATCAATGTCCCCTCTGTGTCTGTGGGATAATACGTTTTGAGTATTTTGAGAGAATACCACAAGAAACTTTTTATGTTTGTGCCTAAAATAAGGCAGGGTAGAGGGTGGGAACCCGACTGGAAAAAATAACAAACAGAGACTAATTGTTGCTTTATCGTGTGTATCACCCGACGTAACAAGATTTCTGGAGACCACAGGCCTTGGCCGAGCCTGGAAGCGTGTCAGCCTCATACTTACCGAGCCGTACAAAAGCCCGTCGGAGTCCATGGCCAAGTACTGGCCACTCCCGGTGCTCTTTATGTACACCTCCCCCACGCTTTCCGCACTGAGCTGCAGCTGAACTGAAATAAAAATAACACGAGAAAAAGTAAATAAACACTAGGCCTTTGCCAACAGGGCCCGGCGGCCAGGACAGTTGGCCATGGAAAATTCTGCTCATTCATTTCAGGGCCCTCAAGGATGAGCCTCAGATGAATCAACACAGAGAAATACAGTTCCTTTTTCTTTGCCCTCCCAAGAAAGCTGTCCCTTGGGAACTATGTTTTTCAGAGAAGGAGAGGTGAAGCAGGGGTGCCCACCTCTTCCCCCCACACACACACACCTCCCCCAGCCCACGCTGTTTCCCTGTGCCGCCCTCCTTTCCCCTTGTCCCTGGAGGGAAATAACCAGGGGAGGAAGCTGCATTCACTTCCCCGGACTCCTGTGCCCAGCGATGCTGGGGTGCTGTGGAGTGCGCCCCCGGGCAGCCCAAGTGTGTTCTGCCTCAGTTAGCAACCTGCCTTGAGGTGTGTCTTTGCACAGCCCCAGCCTTCTAGGCGTGGGAGCTTCTCGTGGACAGATCGCATCAACTCCCCACCCTCCGTGGCAGCCCAGCTGGGTAGAGGCAGAGGGGAACCGTGGCTTCTGATTGGGAGAATGATGCATTTACCTGGAATTGCAGGAATATGAAACTGTGGTTCTCACCTGGGGGCGAGTTTGTTATTCAGGGGACACTTGGCCATGTCTGGGGACTTGTTTTGGTTGTCCCACCTGGAGTGGGGTGGTGCTATTAGCATCTAGTAGGCAGAGGTCAGGGATGCTGCTGAACACCCTACAGTGCACAAGGCAGCCCTTCACAATGCGGAGTGGTGAGCCCAGAGAGTCCCCAGCGTGGAGGCCGAGAAGCCTCAAGGTGGAGGGCAAGGCCGTGAGTTCCCCGAGCTATGCTCTCCCAGTTCGCACTGACTGCTGTGCCCGCTGCTGGGTACCACCCAGACTCCAATGCCCATTTGGTAATTATTCATTTGCTTTCTCTTCCCAGGGAGGCTCTAGAGGAAGGTGATTTTTTTCTTTTTTTTAAATCCTCACCAAGGATGTGTTAATCTTTTAGAGAGAGAGGAAGAGAGAGAAAGAGAAACATCGATGTGAGAGAAGCATCCATTGATTGCTTCCCGTACATGCTTCGACCAGGGATTGAACCCACAACCTAGGCATGTGCCCTGACCGGGGATCGAACCCACAACCTTTTGGCGTAGGGGCCAATGTTCCAACCTACCGAGCCACCCAGCCAGGGTATGGAGGGGGGCATTTTGATGGTTTATATTTGGGAATAAAATGAATTTTGGACTCTTCTGGTCCATGTCTTTGGTCACTGACCATCACGGCCATCGTTATGACTAGGAGTGGGATCTGGACTCAGTGTTTCCACAGAAGGCGTGTGGCCCACTCCAAGGGTCCGCTTTGTCTGACGCCGAGGGCCAGGGGGAGCTGGAGAGAACACCGAGCTTTGGTTGGCGCATCGAGACCCCTCATTGCTTTTTCTTCATTTTTCTTTCTTATTTAATGTCTTTGAATAAATTATACCACGTTTCAAATTCAGAAACAATATAAGAGGAGACAGTAAAAATGTCCCCCTACCCCTTTTAGCCTCCCATTTGCAACCAGTGGGGATACAGCAGTAAACAGGACAGATGAGACCCTTGTCCTCCTCCCAGGACACCTTGTCCGGGGGAAGCTCAGACAGACAAGTAAACCCCTCCTAGGTGTGTCTTAGATGGATCTTGCTGGAAAAATTTTATGCCCATATGAGCAAATACATGTTTTCCCTCCTGCCTTTTCATATGCAAGTGGTAAGATCCTTTACGCACAATTCTGCACGCTGGGTTTTGTTTGTTGGGCTTATCAGGTAATTGGAGATCTTTTCATTTCATTACTGAAGAGGGTTGCCTCCCCCTTTTTTTTTTTTTTACCAGCTGAATTGTATTCCATTATGTGGCTACACCATAATCATTTAACCATAATCACTACTTCCCTATGAATATATCTGTATTTTATTTCCTTATCTCCTGTTTTCCTTATCTCCTGATTCATTCCTAGGGGGATACATAGTTACATCACCCCATTGAAGCTGCAGTGTCCTTGTTCTTGGAAGTCTTTGCTGAAGAGACTTGGGGCCTCCTCTAGCTTCCTGCGGGAAGTGGAGTTTATCTAACTCATGGAGAAGGGAAGGGAAGCCACTGACCTCCTCTCCCAGGGGGCTCCTAACTTCGGCTAGCTCTGAGAGAACAGGCTAAAGGTCCTCCACGGTGATTGGGCCCTCCCCGTTCTAGCCTCAGAGCACACCTCTTGCTCAGTCAGTCAGTGCTTTGCCCATCCGACTCCTTCAACACACCAAGCTCTTTGCTACCTCAGGACCTTTGCACATGCTCAACCCTGTGTCTGGCACCTTCTTTGTCCTGATACTCACAAAGCTGATCCTTTTCCTCCTGCAGGCCCCAGCCTAACACCCCCTCCTCAGAGAGGCCTTTCCCACCCCAGCACCCTGTGACAATCTGTATGGTGGGCCCTGTCACCCTTCCCATCGCACCCCCACCTCACTGCTCCGCCACCTTGGTCCCCAGATTGTCATCCTTCTCGCCCCTTGTTTGTTTCCTTCACGGCAATTTATACGAAGTACAATTGTTTTTTATCTCTTAGGGGTTTGCTCATTTATTTCTGCCTCCCCAGGAGAATGCACACTGGGACGAAGGGCAGGGATCTTGTCTGGCCTGCTCCTGATTAGGTCTCCAGCACCTCACGCCATGCCCTGCCCTCTGGGGACAGCTAATTGTTGAATGAATAATGTTTTGCAGATATTTGCAGAGATGACTCTGCTCATCCATTCATCAATAAGCTGTGAGCTTTCAATTATGTTTCCAATATCACCTTGTGAAGTGAAGATGGGACCAAGTTGAGAGTTGTAAGGCTCAAGGCTGGGCTCTGCCACCAGCCCTCTATGAGACCGCCTCGGCCAGCTGAACCTCCGGCCACAGTCTCCTGTCGGTACAACGAGAGGCACCTGGGTTCAGCCTCCCAGGGTTTCTCCAGCTGTAACAGTCTATGAAGCGAGTGAATACAGTTGACAACAATACCAGATACAGTCGCACATATTGTATAAAAAGGAACAAAGGAAATAAAAAGGTGGACGAATTTTGAAAACATGCTAAGTGAAATAAGCCAGTTGCAACAGACCACGTATTTTGTGATTCCACTTAAACGCAGTGTCCAGAGTAAGCAAACCGGCAGAGACAGGAAGGAGAGGAGTGGTGGCCAGGGGCTGAGGAGGGGCCCGGGAGAGAGAAGGGAGGGTTATGGTTAGGGGGTGTGGGGTTTTTTGGGAGGTGACGAAAATGTTCTAAAGTTGATTGTAGAGATGGTCGCCTAACTCTGAATGTAAGAAAAACCACTGAATTGTTCACTTTACATGGGTGAATCTATCTCAGTAAAGCATATTTAAAAATTCTCTGTGTTTTCACGTGTGGTTTTCAGAGAACTTTCACACACATTTCTTCTATCAGTTTCTCAGTGTAGCCCTGTGTGTCTACGAGAGACCGAAGGGGGGCAGCCATTTACTGCACCGGCAGCGAGCCAGGCAGAGGGCACGCTGGTCTCCGCCTTGGCACGCACGGTGCAAACTTGGAGCGCAGGCTCCACATCCGCCTGCACGCGTGCAAGTTCTGCTTGGCCGTGTGTCAGCGGTGCGGCCGTCGGGTGAGTCGTCCCCTGCCTCCTCATCTCTCGTGGTGGTGCCTGCTTCATGCAGCAGTTGTGAGGGGTAAGTCTGGGCACAGCGCCTGGCAAGTGCCCGGTACTGTCACTTCCCGGTGCTGAGGTGACTTCACCGCCCCTCAGAGCATTCCCCGGAGGGCGGTGGCACGGGCTCTGTCCTGCAGGTGAGAAGACTGGAGCTCGGTGAGAGGGTGGTTTACCCCCTGTCGCCGTCAGGGGGGAAACCGTGACCGGAACCCGGGTTTAAGCATTCCAAGTATCCCGCTTTTCCCTCTTTTGTAAAACGCCTTGAGCTCCAATTATGGAAACATCGGGCCAGATCAAGCCATACTCACTCCCCTTCTTGGACTCCCTCATGTTCAAGGTCTGACCGGAGCAAGACGCAGATGGGCATCCAGAATCCCTTCTGTAGCCATAGCATGCAGGGTGATGTTAGCTCCCTGGGATGTTTTTCCAGCTCCTATATTTACTCGTTTATTTATTTTTATTTTTTAATTATATTTTATTGACAATGCTATTACAGTTGTCCTGATTTTTCCTGCTTTGCCCCCCTCTACCCAGCAACCCCCACTCCCTCAGGCAATATGCCCACTCTTGTTCATGTCTATGGGTCAGGGTCCTGTGTGCAAGTTCTTTGGCTGCTCCCTTTCCCATACTGTACTTCACATCCCCATGGCTATTCTGTAACTACCTATTCATAGCTCTTAATCCCCTTACCTCTCACCCGTTCTCCCACACCCCTCCCTTCTCTTTATCTTTAACCTTTGGCATTTTAATTATGGTGTGTCTTGGGGTGCCACCCCTATATTTAGGTATTTGGTCAAACACATCATAGGTGCCACAGAAATCCCAAGGGGCAAACCCTTTCAGGTAATCAAAGAAGTTGCTTCCTTAAAAGTGCCTGTTTTCAGAGCAGCTCCAGGCTCACAGCAAAAGTGGGGGAGGCACAGAGAGTTCCCATGCGCCCCGCCCCCAAACACACAGTCTGCCCATTCTGGGCGCCCCCCACCAGACCTGCCGGCACCTCTGTTGTAACTGATGCACTTGTGGTGACATGTCATCACAGAATACTTTATAGTATTTCCTAGTTCAGTTCTGTTCTTTGCCTTAAACAGTCCCCATTCATGTTGCCGTGGGGGAGAGCGGAGCTGCTTCGCTAGCTGCCGAGCCCCCTTTGGGCTGTGCGAGGCCTCGCGGAGCGCGAGCCAGCGCCGCCCGGCACATGAGTCAGTTCTCGGCCAGAGCCCCAGCACCGGGTTGTTACACTGGTGAGAGTTCGTCTCAAGAGTTTCCTCTGTAAATATTATTTCTCCAG